CATGAATTAAGATATGAAATATAACCTAGGTGAGATAGTACTTTGACTTAAGTTTTCCCCATAATGGTACGTCTGACTTGAGAGGTTAAAGAGCCAATATGCAAGGGCAAGTAGCTGTCAGAAGCTTTTACCTGCAAGTATGCATATTTGATCTTGGCACTAAACAGTCTTACCTCTTATTTGGGTTCTGCAGCACAAATGTAACAATCCCCACTAACACCTTTTGGGTGACTCAGGATAAAAATCTGAAAAAGGAATAGGTGTCCAACTATCCCTAACAGACAACAGGTATTTCTTCTACCCTCTTTTTTAAAGACATCACATACCACATTCTTTTTCAGTCACTCTACTTCTAGATGTGTCAATCTCCGGATGACAGGACTTAAATTGATAAGGAGCTGTGGAAGGAAAGGTCAGTTCTGACCTACTTAGGTCAGAAACAACCAGAAAGTGTTGAGAGGTGCAGGTCAAGTGGAAAACTATTGCTGCAGGAGTTCTGCCCCTTGTGCAATTGGTGTAGGATAGGGAAAAAAAAAAAAAAAAAAAAGAGTTATTTATCAAACTTCCCAATATAGATTTGTAATGGGTTAACATCACTCACAAATTTCAGACCAGCCACAATGAAGTTTACCAAGGCTGTATGTTCCTTGTCTTTCTCTCCCACGAGGTCTCAGGGCTTTCTTGGAAAACCAAACGATTAAAAGACTGCAGTAAATGTCTTTTTTTCCCCCCTCAGGTGCTTCCCTACTTTGCTTTGTTTTCTCCAGCTGTTAGAAATTCGATTCATGGCTGCTATTGCCTGCATCTGGATCTACTACAGAAGTGAAAACAGGCAGAAAACCCTGTATATGTAGGATAATTCTGTCATTAACAAAAGCCGAGGTAGAATTTAAACTAGACACTCCTTAAATGGCTGAAGGGCTTTCACCACATGCTGTCTTCCTTTCCAAGAGGTCCATGTTCTGAAAATTCCTGTGACTCTGCTGAGTATAAGAGAATGTAGTCTGCTGTGATGTCTCTTACTGAGAGAAATCAAGTGTATCAAAGAGCTCACAACCTCTACTAAGGATGAACTCTCACATTTTCTTTAAAGTAGAATGAAAAACCACAAAGAATTTGCAACCAATAAAAGAAGAAAAAGTGACACCACCCCTCCCCACACACACACACGAGTATTCTCAGGAAGCCAAAACATTTTAAAAAGCATTACACTGCAGACACTTGAATGTGTAGCTAAACTGAGTTTGACTTTTCAAAGGAAATTAAAAACTACATTAGAAGACTATTAGCTAAAGAAACAGAAATACAGGGAATGCATTGGGGATGTAGTGAAGGTCTAGTTGAAATAAAAGTATCTAGGCAAGACAGAAAAGCAAAATGAATGCTTTGCCCCAGTTTTCAGGGGGGTGGAGATCATGCACAAATGGTGCAGAGAATGGTCATGCAATGGAAATCAAGGCCCAGTGTGCAAAACAAACTCAGAAAATCTGACACCATAGACTCCTGAGGGAACCTACAGTCTCCATGCTAGAATTCTGAAAGAAATAGCACATGGAATACACATTCAGTAGATAGGATTTTTAAAAATGCATCAAAATGATGTGTAGTATCAGATAAGAACTGCAGTCTCAACATACATTTTCCACTTCTCATAAAAATACAGAACAGGGGGTCCTCATTCACTGCCTCTGTGAATGTAAGTGTAGTGAAAGCATTTTGCAGAGAGTATATGAACCTTTTGCCCTCTTCTTTGTCTCTGAAAAACTTACACATGCTCACTTGTTTATCCTCCAATAAAAACAAAGAATTTGGTGAAACTTTGGACTTGGTGAATTCTTTTCCTGTTCTTGGAATATTTCTGTTAGGATGACTTCATTACTGCTTCAGCTATGAGTAGTTGTTATTCATTTGAAGGCACAACTTCCCACTGTGCTTAATATCCTAGTGGGATATTACTCGCAGTTACTGCAATCCAGCTGTCTCATATTCTTCAACATAAAACAACTTCATTCAGAAGCTCTTTTTCATTCTAAGATTAATCTTTAATTACGCAGCATTCAGTATGTATTGCCTCAAAAACTATCAACCTGTTTCCTTTGACTTTTTTATATATTTCACATGGCACAGTTCCTATCTTTAATCGTACTATCTACCTTAGTCTATGTCCATAACATCAATATCCTGACTAAAATGCTATCCAGATAGAGTCCAAATGTTCCTTTGCAAAATCAAGCTCACAAAGTCTCTATAATCTAACAAAAATCAGATGTCTAAAGAGCCAAAAAATTATTAAGGAATGTGGATATGCCCTGGATCACCTATTTGGTGATTTCAAATCAACAGCCACCCTTGGATTAAGTAATCCTTGTGAGTGAAACAATGAAAACATCTTAAAGGAAGCACCCTGCAGTTCCAGAGGTATTCCTATTACAGATCAGCAGTACAACACACCCTCCACTATTTAGGTGCTCTCAAGTGTTACTCAAATTAAACCTGCAGGACTGGAGTGAATGTTTTATGTATCTATGGCGAAGCTTGAACATAGAAATGCATAGCTGATAATCTGCATTAACACTAGTACTGGGCAGCATTTTACAGTTAGGAACTCTATTTTTTAAAACATTCTCTCTGCGTAAATACATGCTTGAAATGCTTCCTGAGGAACTGATCCAAAGACTTTCTGCTTTTACTCTGATGTTGACAAATTGCCCCCTGTGAATGAGTGGCCTTGTTCATTTACATTTCTCAATTATATTTTGATCAACAATTTCTTACCCTGATTCAGCCTTGCAATCCCCTGTAATCAGCAACCCCTTGTTCTTTGGCACCATCAGCAAGCCCCTGTAAGCTGGCCACAGAACATTTCTGTTTCCTCACCTTGGCTTCTGTGCCAACAGAGTATGTCTGAATAACCATCAGATTTACTAAAGCTTCTTACAGGCACTGAAAGGAAACTGGCATTGTCTGGAATGTATCTAATTAGGAATGCAAATACATCGTGACTCAGAAAATGAATGCCAGGGTTTCCTCTGCGCTCTCTCTGTGCCAGCAGTCAGTGTCTCTAAGGCGCAGTGGAGGAACTGACTTACGTTTCACCAAACCTCAAAAAACCCCTCTCATGACTGTGCCTGAATAATGGTATTCATTAAGCAGAAAACTGCACATGTCCCCTTTGATGATTTTTTTTTTTTTTCAATCTCCTGAGCTTTTGTCAGGACTTGCAAAGCAGAATTGCAAGATAGCACTGACAGAAATCTTCATATTAATACTGTCCATTTTGGTGTGCAGTGATTCATGATTTTATGGATGCACCCTGCACTTACGTAGTGCGTGTGCACTGGGCACTGTGACTACCTACAGTCTCTTCATATCTCACTATTTAACCCTCATGCTTCAGAAAGAAGTATGGGGAATACAATATCCTTTTCTGAGTTACTGTTCGCATACACACATCACAGAAGACTAAGAATATACCGTTTTGTGCAGAGCTATGCCTGTATCTTCACAGAAGCTGACTGAAGCTTTGTTACACTCCTCAGTGCATTTCCCAACTTCCCAAAAATTAAAAACTCTATAAAGGAATAGTCAATCACAACCAGCTGGAGGTCAAGCCCAAGAAGACTGGACATATAGAAGATTCAGACCTCACTGAGGAACAGACAGAAGCAGCTTTGTAATCTTAAAAAAACAGCAGGAGTCCCTGATTCACTGAGGGAAGATGTGGTGAGCAATACAGGCATTAAATGAAGTTTAACTATCTAGAAAAAAAATCAGACATCCTAATCAAACCCTTAGCCTATGTTCACAGGAACTAATTAGAGGATAAGCCTCACTCTGGTTTGTTTCGCCATGCAAATCCAGCTCACACAAACTTTTACTAGTATGGGCAAGATGTTAGATGTTTCAGGATTTTTCTTCAGTATATAAAAAATTTCCTAATTGACAACTGCAATAAAGATGACACATTTTAATAATTTTGCACATTGACATTCCTACTAAAACATTTCAACTAACACAATATGTTAAGACTAATATTTTTCACATCAGAACCAAACTCTCCCTCAGCCTTTTCTCACAGGAGAGATGCTCCATCCCTCGGATCATTTTTGTGGCCATCCTCTGGACTCGCTCCAACAGGTCCATGTCTATTCTGTGCCAAGGACCCCATAGCTGGATGCAGCACTGTAGGTGAGTGGAGTAGAGGGGCAGGCTCACCTTGCATGACCTGCTGGTCATGCCAGCCTAGAATGTTTTTGTATTTAAAGGAAAAAGAATAAGCAATAACTTTGTTCTCAACTGAAAAGTCAAGGCAGAAGACAAACTTCCTCTGAGAGATCTCTGTATATTTTTATTAACACTTAATTTAATTTAAAAACAAAATTGCTGAACCTACATACATTACAACTCAGTTCTTTTATCACTTGAAGTCGAATTTATGAGCTGAAGATATCTGGGGGAAATTCTGCACCTGACAAAATTCTGTTTTGAGTTTTAAAAATAAGTTGTTCTGAAGCAGTTTCCCAAACTGCAGGAAAAACACCAGGGTAAGTGCAGTGATTGTAATTGTGTAAGACTGACAGAAATCAGGCTGTGAAGTCGTGTGATTGAAAGCTGAAAAAGCTTCAAGAAGGGATTATCAGAATCACTTGAATATACTCTCAAGTTCCTACAATCCACAGGTTAAGGCTGGAGAACTGCAGATTAGAGTTTGTAGCTGTAAGTTGATAATTACTGAAGAGAATGAAGTTCTTTATCAACCAAATATAACTAAATACTTTTAAAGAACAAAAGACATTTTGATGCAACATTCTGATTTTGTACTCAATGCAATTCTACACTTCTGGAGTTATAATCACGTTTGTTCCATGGTAATCCAAATTTTCCAGATCAGTTCAACCTGGATATGACCTTAGGGGCACTGATCACATACACAGTTCTAAATCCCTGGTGTCCCGAACCATCTCAAAAACAAATATTAAAAGAACAAATTAAAAACTCACCCGAATCATCATGACTGAGCACCTGATGTTGTGAATCGCATCATACACCTTCTTAGAAATGTCCACAAAGTGGTTATCATCGAACAGATGAACTGTGTTCTTACTTAGGCTCTCCAATGCAATATTTACTTGACCAATAAACTCTGGAATCACTATTAAAAAAAGAACAACAAAACCAAATTTCAGTGAGTATGAAAAAGAACATAAAATTATTTTTCTTTCTGGTAAATCCCCTCACATTGATTAAAACTTTATTTTTAAAAAGTATTATAGTAATAGCACCATTACTTTAAAGTGGGAAGTCATTTGTAATTTTTTATCACAGTGATAAAATGCCCATGGTGAGCACATAAGCTCTGGAGGATTATACAGTACTACAAAGAAGAAAAGTTTTAAAATGGGAGCTGAGGGTGCAGTTATAAAAATTCGTTGGTCATTTCAACAGTAATTTTACGCAAAGAATCAGGATAAATAACTTGGGTTTAAGCTGGAACTTCTACTGGTTCAGTGTTGGAAACCAGAGTGTCCATGAGGATATGGAAAATGCGTTCAGGATGTGGAAGGAGGCTGAGAACAGCGAGACCACCTTTGAGGAATGGAAAAACCAGCTTGAGAAAGTGGACAATGAACTTCAGTGTGCTTAAAAGACTGTTTGCAGTGGTTCAGCTAAATATAAAAACCTATTTGTAGGTTGTCTCTCCCATTTTCCCTTTCTCCCTCATGGACTGATAAGCCTGACAGCTTCCCATTGGTCAGCATACCCTGAGGTACTGACCAATCAGTTTATCCCAAGTTTTCTCCTCCCAAGTTACCACCCCCTAATGTTTATGTATTAACTGTTACCCTATGATTGTGAGAGGATTTGCATGCTCCGCCTTAGTTACGCCCCTTT